ACCTACAGAAAGCTGAGAACCTTCTCTCTTCGGTAGGGATGAGGGGACAAAGCATCCAAAGCTATGTTTTTCCCACAATTACATTTTGAAATGGCTCGTTCGTCACAGCAGGCCCCAGCGAAACAGGCGCAGCGACATGGTAGACATTTTAATTACAGGAATCATGAGGATAATGCACTTTACTGTTTGACGAAATCATGGTTTTAGCCGGCCACAAAATAGGACATTTTGTGAGGTGACAATGTGCTCTTTCTATGTTTATATACATTTATATCCTTTCCGTTTTTTTACGATCCATGATCTTGGCTGTCTAACTGAGGACAGAGTCTGAGCAGGTCTCTTTACTGATGCTGCATTTGACTTTGAATGTGAGTTTGCGTGACCTCAGCTCAGCCTATGCGAAAACGGGGCCGACCCATAGGTTGGTGGCCGGCTATTTCCCACTTATCAGCCAAAGGCTCATTATATATTAGTATAACAGATAAATTGCGCAAAAATATTTATAAAAAATCTTAACAGGCCCATGTTACCTTTTTCATTGTTTTATTTGGATATATATATTTTTTAAAAAGAATTGTGTTTGTCAATTTCGAGCAGCCCACCCAACAAAAAAATGGTCCAGCCCATCTGGTTTTTGCCAGAATTGCCAGATGGCCAATCCGCCCGTGTGTGTGTGTGTGTGTGTGGGTGTGTGTCAGTAAGTTAGTGTAGGAAATAGGGGCTATCCAGTCTTGTTTAATCATCTGGAACAGGGCAGGGCCACTTCAAGTAACTGATGCAATATCTCAATGTGGCTACCTCCCAAATGCCACCCTATTCCCTATGTAGTGCACTACTTTTGACCATGGCACATAGGGGTCTGATCAAAAGCAGTGCACTATATGGAATAGGTTCTCATTTGGGACTAAGACCTTGTTTTGTTAGAATGTAAGACAAACATAAGCCCGCAATAAATCTAGTTTTGATGATAGAAAAAACAACTTTTAAATATATGAATTGGTTGGTATGGTGATAGATCAAATCAGAACACTGGAATTTTATAGTTGATGTGTTTAGTTTTATGTCCCTAAAAACAGTGCTTTTAGTGAGCGATTTTACAGCAGTGTGGGAATAAAACATTTCATACCCATGGAAAAAGAGACCAATTTGTTTATTTTAAACTCCAACCACCCTTGTTGAAATGTAATTTACAGCAACACACTGGCTAAGCAATTTCCAAGGAACTTTTCCCCTGACTACCACTGTGGGGTAGCAGCCTAGCTAGCCTGCTGCATAGTTCAGGAAAGCAAACAGTTCCAAATGGTTGAGCGGGGCCCTAGCTGCAGTGACGAAGCGACGCTCAAAGGGCGGTGTTCACACGTAAAGAAAATCTTGAGTGTTGCTGTGGTACATCTGGAATAGTGCTTCTAGTATCTACAGCGGGATCTCTGCAATAGTTGTGACCACTTCAACTCATGAGTACTCATTTTTAAAGGGAAATTTACCACAGCCTTTGCTTTCTGTAAGTTGATATAATATGGAATCTTAATTTAAGGTTTTTAGTTTATTTCAAAGGATGAATATCCGATTTTTTATTTATTTACCTTCTCCTCCTCCCACTAACGGAATGTATCAACTTTATTCTTGGAGTTTAATCAAGTTGGATTTATCTATTTTCATCTGATTGGACTAAGGCTGCGTTTTCATCAATTATTCGAATTTATTTTTGATAAAATATAATTGAATAGTTTTGTAGGGATTTTGAAGAATACTTAAATGATTAATCGTTGCATTTTCTCACTGCGCTTCTAGTAAATAACGGTCCACAGGCAGGCATATGGAGCTGTTTTGATCATGCGTTGATTTGCATTTCGTTTTATATCTCAACTAGGCTACTCATGTGCCGTTTCAAAACGTATATGTAAACTTTCTAAGTAGCGTGCAACTGTTGTTGATTATAGATTTTATCTTTCCAACGATTTGTTTTTTGCTGCATGAATAAAATCGATGTAAATGTTTAATTGGTTGCAAATTGGTTGCACATCTTTTACATTTCTCTCAAAACACTACAGGCTGCAGATGAATTGATATATTTTGAGGAGTTGAAACAGTCCTCCTATTCCATGCTTTTATCCACTCCAATGTTACGGAATACCTACTTTTCAACTTGAAGTGAACATATGGGTTTGATGTGTAAATGTGTAAATGGCGCTACCTGGTGTCAAGATGAAGTACCACTTGAACAAGTTGACGCTGTATCAGTACCATAGGACGCCTGGTGTGATAACTGTTGTTCCTGTTTGTTTGTCTCCACGTGTAGACCTATCTGAACATGCTGCTCATCCTGCTCGGAGTGCTCATCTTCCACCTCATCATCCTGGTCCTACTGTTTGTGTCAACAATTGCCAATGTGAGTAACTATGATATTGTTGCCAATACCCTATTATAATACAATGTGAGTAGCTATGATATTGTTGCCGATACCCTACTATAATACAATGTGAGTAGCTATGATATTGTTGCCAATACCCTACTATAATACAATGTGAGTAGCTATGATATTGTTGCCGATACCCTACTATAATACAATGTGAGTAGCTATGATATTGTTGCCGATACCCTACTATAATACAATGTGAGTAGCTATGATATTGTTGCCGATACCCTACTATAATACAATGTGAGTAGCTATGATATTGTTGCCGATACCCTACTATAATACAATGTGAGTAGCTATGATATTGTTGCCGATACCCTACTATAATACAATGTGAGTAGCTATGATATTGTTGCCGATACCCTACTATAATACAATGTGAGTAGCTATGATATTGTTGCCGATACCCTACTATAATACAATGTGAGTAGCTATGATATTGTTGCCAATACCCTACTATAATACAATGTGAGTAGCTATGATATTGTTGCCTATACCCTACTATAATACAATGTGAGTAACTATGATTTTGTTGTCGATACCCTACTATAATACAATGTGAGTAGCTATGATATTGTTGCCGATACCCTACTATAATACAATGTGAGTAGCTATGATATTGTTACCAATACCCTACTATAATATAATGTGAGTAGCTATGATATTGTTGCCTATACCCTACTATAATACAATGTGAATAGCTATGATATTGTTGCCGATACCCTACTATAATACAATGTGAGTAGCTATGATATTGTTGCCGATACCCTACTATAATACAATGTGAGTAGCTATGATATTGTTGCCGATACCCTACTATAATACAATGTGAGTAGCTATGATATTGTTGCCGATACCCTACTATAATACAATGTGAGTAGCTATGATATTGTTGCCGATACCCTACTATAATACAATGTGAGTAGCTATGATATTGTTGCCGATACCCTACTATAATACAATGTGAGTAGCTATGATATTGTTGCCGATACCCTACTATAATACAATGTGAGTAGCTATGATATTGTTGCCGATACCCTACTATAATACAATGTGAGTAGCTATGATATTGTTGCCGATACCCTACTATAATACAATGTGAGTAGCTATGATATTGTTGCCGATACCCTACTATAATACAATGTGAGTAGCTATGATATTGTTGCCGATACCCTACTATAATACAATGTGAGTAGCTATGATATTGTTGCCGATACCCTACTATAATACAATGTGAGTAGCTATGATATTGTTGCCGATACCCTACTATAATACAATGTGAGTAGCTATGATATTGTTGCCGATACCCTACTATAATACAATGTGAGTAGCTATGATATTGTTGCCTATACCCTACTATAATACAATGTGAGTAACTATGATTTTGTTGTCCGATACCCTACTATAATACAATGTGAGTAGCTATGATATTGTTGCCGATACCCTACTATAATACAATGTGAGTAGCTATGATATTGTTGCCGATACCCTACTATAATACAATGTGAGTAGCTATGATATTGTTACCAATACCCTACTATAATATAATGTGAGTAGCTATGATATTGTTGCCTATACCCTACTATAATACAATGTGAATAGCTATGATATTGTTGCCGATACCCTACTATAATACAATGTGAGTAGCTATGATATTGTTGCCGATACCCTACTATAATACAATGTGAGTAGCTATGATATTGTTGCCGATACCCTACTATAATACAATGTGAGTAGCTATGATATTGTTGCCGATACCCTACTATAATACAATGTGAGTAGCTATGATATTGTTGCCGATACCCTACTATAATACAATGTGAGTAGCTATGATATTGTTGCCGATACCCTACTATAATACAATGTGAGTAGCTATGATATTGTTGCCGATACCCTACTATAATACAATGTGAGTAGCTATGATATTGTTGCCGATACCCTACTATAATACAATGTGAGTAGCTATGATATTGTTGCCGATACCCTACTATAATAGGAAATAGGGGCTATCCAGTCTTGTTTAATCATCTGGAACAGGGCAGGGCCACTTCAAGTAACTGATGCAATATCTCAATGTGGCTACCTCCCAAATGCCACCCTATTCCCTATGTAGTGCACTACTTTTGACCATGGCACATAGGGGTCTGATCAAAAGCAGTGCACTATATGGAATAGGTTCTCATTTGGGACTAAGACCTTGTTTTGTTAGAATGTAAGACAAACATAAGCCCGCAATAAATCTAGTTTTGATGATAGAAAAAACAACTTTTAAATATATGAATTGGTTGGTATGGTGATAGATCAAATCAGAACACTGGAATTTTATAGTTGATGTGTTTAGTTTTATGTCCCTAAAAACAGTGCTTTTAGTGAGCGATTTTACAGCAGTGTGGGAATAAAACATTTCATACCCATGGAAAAAGAGACCAATTTGTTTATTTTAAACTCCAACCACCCTTGTTGAAATGTAATTTACAGCAACACACTGGCTAAGCAATTTCCAAGGAACTTTTCCCCTGACTACCACTGTGGGGTAGCAGCCTAGCTAGCCTGCTGCATAGTTCAGGAAAGCAAACAGTTCCAAATGGTTGAGCGGGGCCCTAGCTGCAGTGACGAAGCGACGCTCAAAGGGCGGTGTTCACACGTAAAGAAAATCTTGAGTGTTGCTGTGGTACATCTGGAATAGTGCTTCTAGTATCTACAGCGGGATCTCTGCAATAGTTGTGACCACTTCAACTCATGAGTACTCATTTTTAAAGGGAAATTTACCACAGCCTTTGCTTTCTGTAAGTTGATATAATATGGAATCTTAATTTAAGGTTTTTAGTTTATTTCAAAGGATGAATATCCGATTTTTTATTTATTTACCTTCTCCTCCTCCCACTAACGGAATGTATCAACTTTATTCTTGGAGTTTAATCAAGTTGGATTTATCTATTTTCATCTGATTGGACTAAGGCTGCGTTTTCATCAATTATTCGAATTTATTTTTGATAAAATATAATTGAATAGTTTTGTAGGGATTTTGAAGAATACTTAAATGATTAATCGTTGCATTTTCTCACTGCGCTTCTAGTAAATAACGGTCCACAGGCAGGCATATGGAGCTGTTTTGATCATGCGTTGATTTGCATTTCGTTTTATATCTCAACTAGGCTACTCATGTGCCGTTTCAAAACGTATATGTAAACTTTCTAAGTAGCGTGCAACTGTTGTTGATTATAGATTTTATCTTTCCAACGATTTGTTTTTTGCTGCATGAATAAAATCGATGTAAATGTTTAATTGGTTGCAAATTGGTTGCACATCTTTTACATTTCTCTCAAAACACTACAGGCTGCAGATGAATTGATATATTTTGAGGAGTTGAAACAGTCCTCCTATTCCATGCTTTTATCCACTCCAATGTTACGGAATACCTACTTTTCAACTTGAAGTGAACATATGGGTTTGATGTGTAAATGTGTAAATGGCGCTACCTGGTGTCAAGATGAAGTACCACTTGAACAAGTTGACGCTGTATCAGTACCATAGACGCCTGGTGTGATAACTGTTGTTCCTGTTTGTTTGTCTCCACGTGTAGACCTATCTGAACATGCTGCTCATCCTGCTCGGAGTGCTCATCTTCCACCTCATCATCCTGGTCCTACTGTTTGTGTCAACAATTGCCAATGTGAGTAACTATGATATTGTTGCCAATACCCTATTATAATACAATGTGAGTAGCTATGATATTGTTGCCGATACCCTACTATAATACAATGTGAGTAGCTATGATATTGTTGCCAATACCCTACTATAATACAATGTGAGTAGCTATGATATTGTTGCCGATACCCTACTATAATACAATGTGAGTAGCTATGATATTGTTGCCGATACCCTACTATAATACAATGTGAGTAGCTATGATATTGTTGCCGATACCCTACTATAATACAATGTGAGTAGCTATGATATTGTTGCCGATACCCTACTATAATACAATGTGAGTAGCTATGATATTGTTGCCGATACCCTACTATAATACAATGTGAGTAGCTATGATATTGTTGCCGATACCCTACTATAATACAATGTGAGTAGCTATGATATTGTTGCCGATACCCTACTATAATACAATGTGAGTAGCTATGATATTGTTGCCAATACCCTACTATAATACAATGTGAGTAGCTATGATATTGTTGCCTATACCCTACTATAATACAATGTGAGTAACTATGATTTTGTTGTCGATACCCTACTATAATACAATGTGAGTAGCTATGATATTGTTGCCGATACCCTACTATAATACAATGTGAGTAGCTATGATATTGTTACCAATACCCTACTATAATATAATGTGAGTAGCTATGATATTGTTGCCTATACCCTACTATAATACAATGTGAATAGCTATGATATTGTTGCCGATACCCTACTATAATACAATGTGAGTAGCTATGATATTGTTGCCGATACCCTACTATAATACAATGTGAGTAGCTATGATATTGTTGCCGATACCCTACTATAATACAATGTGAGTAGCTATGATATTGTTGCCGATACCCTACTATAATACAATGTGAGTAGCTATGATATTGTTGCCGATACCCTACTATAATACAATGTGAGTAGCTATGATATTGTTGCCGATACCCTACTATAATACAATGTGAGTAGCTATGATATTGTTGCCGATACCCTACTATAATACAATGTGAGTAGCTATGATATTGTTGCCGATACCCTACTATAATACAATGTGAGTAGCTATGATATTGTTGCCGATACCCTACTATAATACAATGTGAGTAGCTATGATATTGTTGCCGATACCCTACTATAATACAATGTGAGTAGCTATGATATTGTTGCCGATACCCTACTATAATACAATGTGAGTAGCTATGATATTGTTGCCGATACCCTACTATAATACAATGTGAGTAGCTATGATATTGTTGCCGATACCCTACTATAATACAATGTGAGTAGCTATGATATTGTTGCCAATACCCTACTATAATACAATGTGAGTAGCTATGATATTGTTGCCTATACCCTACTATAATACAATGTGAGTAACTATGATTTTGTTGTCGATACCCTACTATAATACAATGTGAGTAGCTATGATATTGTTGCCGATACCCTACTATAATACAATGTGAGTAGCTATGATATTGTTACCAATACCCTACTATAATATAATGTGAGTAGCTATGATATTGTTGCCTATACCCTACTATAATACAATGTGAATAGCTATGATATTGTTGCCGATACCCTACTATAATACAATGTGAGTAGCTATGATATTGTTGCCGATACCCTACTATAATACAATGTGAGTAGCTATGATATTGTTGCCGATACCCTACTATAATACAATGTGAGTAGCTATGATATTGTTGCCGATACCCTACTATAATACAATGTGAGTAGCTATGATATTGTTGCCGATACCCTACTATAATACAATGTGAGTAGCTATGATATTGTTGCCGATACCCTACTATAATACAATGTGAGTAGCTATGATATTGTTGCCGATACCCTACTATAATACAATGTGAGTAGCTATGATATTGTTGCCGATACCCTACTATAATACAATGTGAGTAGCTATGATATTGTTGCCGATACCCTACTATAATACAATGTGAGTAGCTATGATATTGTTGCCGATACCCTACTATAATACAATGTGAGTAGCTATGATATTGTTGCCAATACCCTACTATAATACAATGTGAGTAGCTATGATATTGTTGCCTATACCCTACTATAATACAATGTGAGTAACTATGATTTTGTTGTCGATACCCTACTATAATACAATGTGAGTAGCTATGATATTGTTGCCGATACCCTACTATAATACAATGTGAGTAGCTATGATATTGTTACCAATACCCTACTATAATATAATGTGAGTAGCTATGATATTGTTGCCTATACCCTACTATAATACAATGTGAATAGCTATGATATTGTTGCCGATACCCTACTATAATACAATGTGAGTAGCTATGATATTGTTGCCGATACCCTACTATAATACAATGTGAGTAGCTATGATATTGTTGCCGATACCCTACTATAATACAATGTGAGTAGCTATGATATTGTTGCCGATACCCTACTATAATACAATGTGAGTAGCTATGATATTGTTGCCGATACCCTACTATAATACAATGTGAGTAGCTATGATATTGTTGCCGATACCCTACTATAATACAATGTGAGTAGCTATGATATCATTGCCTACTGTACTATAGCACTGGTGTGTGTCAGTAAGTTAGTGTAGGTAATAGGGCTATCCAGTCTTGCTAACCATCTGGAACAGGGCAGGGCCACTTCAACTAACTGATGTGTCAGACCCGGGTTCAAATATTTCAGCATTTGATTGAACCTGAATCACGCCAGATGGGAGTGGTTGCTTGCACTTTTGGGACTACACTGTATTATTCCATTGGTTCCACTGTGCCCAGACAAGCTCGATCAAGCAAAAGTTTTAGAAAGTAAACAAATACTATTTGAATCTGTGTGTGGTGGTGGGTGTATGTATTTTTACAATGGAACCTGGGAACCACTTGTCCTACTTTTAATGGGCTATGCACATGTTGTGGGAGAGGGGGGATGTATGTATTTTTGCGATGGACCTGGGAACCACTTGTCCTACTTTTAACGGGCTATGCACATGTTGTGGAAGAGGGGGGATGTATGTCTTGGGAGTGTGTGTGTTTACACAGGCAGCCCAATTCTGATCTTTGCTGATCTGATCTTTGCTGATCTGATTGTTCAAAAGACCAATTAGTGGTGGAAAAAATATCAGAATTGGGCTGCCTGTGTAACGCACCCTTTGTGTGTGAGTTGAGTTCATTGAGTGTTCTGTGTTTTAAAGCTGTATTATGGATGTGGCTGGGTGTTCTGTGTTTTAAAGCTGTATTATGGATGTGGCTGGGTGTTCTGTGTTTTAAAGCTGTATTAGGGATGTGGCTGGGTGTTCTGTGTTTTAAAGCTGTATTATGGATGTGGCTGGGTGTTCTGTGTTTTAAAGCTGTATTATGGATGTGGCTGGGTATTCTGTGTTTTAAAGCTGTATTATGGATGTGGCTGGGTGTTCTGTGTTTTATGCTGTGTTGTGGGTGTGTCCCAACACAACACAGTGAATAGCCGCCCCGCTCCGACCTGAACAGCTTCCACCCCCAAGCCATAAGACTGCTAAATAGTTAACCAAATAACTACCCGGATTATCTGCATTGACCCTGTTTAAACTAACTCGTTTTGACTCTATGCACACACACTGGACGCCACCCACACACTCACACTCACAAACACGTACACTGTCGCCACACACACATTTCCACACTTCGACACTCATCACATACACTGCTGCTACTGTCTATTATCTATCCTGTTGCCTAGTCACTTTACCCCTACCTATATGTACATATCTACCTCAATTACCTCGTACCCCTGCATATCAACTTGGTACTGGCACCCTGTGTATATAGCCAAGCTATCATTGACTTGGTACTGGTACCCAGTGTATATAGCCAAGTTATAATTGGCTTGGTACTGGCACCCTGTGTATATGCTATCATTGACTTGGTACTGGTACCCTGTGTATATAACATTTACATTTACATTTTAGTCATTTAGCAGACGCTCTTATCCAGAGCGACTTACAGTTATTGAGTGCATACATCTTTTTATACTGGCCTCCCGTGGGAAACGAACCCACAACCCTGGCATTGTAAGCGCCATGCTCTACCAACTGAGCTACACAGGGCCTGTAAAACCAAGCTATCATTGACTAGGTACTGGTACCCCGTGTATATAGCCAAGTTATCATTGACTTGTACTGGTACCCCGTGTATATAGCCAAGTTATCATTGACTTGTACTTGTACCCCGTGTATATAGCCAAGTTATCATTGACTTGTACTGGTACCCCGTGTTTATAGCCAAGTTATAATTGACTAGGTACTGGTACCCCATGTATATAGCCAAGTTATCATTGACTTGTACTTGTACCCCGTGTATATAGCCAAGATATCATTGACTAGGTACTGGTACCCCGTGTATATAGCCAAGTTATCATTGACTTGTACTTGTACCCCGTGTATATAGCCAAGTTATCATTGACTAGGTACTGGTACCCCGTGTATATAGCCAAGTAATCATTGACTTGTACTGGTACCCCGTGTATATAGCCAAGTTATACTGACTAGGTACTGGTACCCCGTTGTATATAGCCAAGTTATCATTGACTTGTACTGGTACCCCGTGTATATAGCCAAGTTATTATTACTGACTAGTGGACTGGTTATCTCTCGTTGTATATAGCAAGTTATATGATAGTATTTGGTACTTGTTTTGTATTGCCAGTTATTATGATAGTTACTGTATCTGTATATAGCATTATTATTGTATTGTGGATTCATTTTATTTTTTTTTTTATTATGTATTCTGATGTGAAGGGGTAGGATAGTATTATGTTTATTGGTTGAAATAATTGTTTTTGGTTTGTATTATATGTTATGTCTATGTGGATTTGTTTGTGTGAATTATGTGTTGATGTGTGTCGTGTGAATTATGTTGTTTTGTGTATGTGATTGCATTGTTGGAGGTGGCGTAGGAACATTTCACCTGGTTGGGTAGGTGAGTGAATATAACATTGTTGATGTGGTTTGTGAATTCACTTTGTTGTGTTGTGGGTGTGTCGTGTGAATTCACTGTGTTGTGGGTGTGTCGTGTGAATTTACTGTGTTGTGGGTGTGTCATGTGAATTCACTGTGTTGTGGGTGTGTCGTGTGAATTCACTGAGTTGTGGGTGTGTCGTGTGAATTCACTGTGTCGTGGGTGTGTCGTGTGAATTCACTGTGTTGTGTTGTGTTGTGTTGTGGGTGTGTCGTGTGAATTCACTGTGTTGTGGGTGTGTCGTGTGAATTTACTGTGTTTTGGGTGTGTCGTGTGAATTCACTGTGTTGTGTTGTGGGTGTGTCGTGTGAATTCACTGTGTTGTGGGTGTGTCATGTGAATTCACTGTGTTGTGGGTGTGTCGTGTGAATTCACTGTGTTGTGTTGTATTGTGTTTTGGGTGTATCGTTTGAATTCACTGTGTTGTGTTGTGTTGTGGGTGTGTCGTTTGAATTCACTGTGTTGTGTTGTGTTGTGTTGTGTTGTGGGTGTGTCGTTTGAATTCACTGTGTTGTGTTGTGTTGTGTTGTGGGTGTGTCGTTTGAATTCACTGTGTTGTGTTGTGTTGTGGGTGTGTCGTGTGAATTCACTGTGTTGTGTTGTATTGTGTTGTGTTGTGGGTGTGTCGTGTGAATTCACTGTGTTGTGTTGTGTTGTGTTGTGGGTGTGTCGTTTGAATTCACTGTGTTGTGTTGTGTTGTGTTGTGGGTGTGTCGTGTGAATTCACTGTGTTGTGTTCCAGGCCTGGACTGTAGCAGGAACCAAGAGTAGTTACCTGTGGTTCAGCTGTCTCACTACTAACGGAGGATATCACTGCATTCCTGCCAGCAATGAAGGTTTGTCCAAGAAGCTAGCACCAAAGATTGTGGATAAATAAAAATTTTACTCAGGCCGTTTAGCATTTTTAAAAAATGGACAATGTTCCTGTCTGTGTAAGTGGGCGTTTCCTCTCTTGCGTGAGCTCACGGTTCCTCCATAATATCTGGCTCACATGAGAGAGGGAACAGCTGGCTCTGGTCTACTTATTGTCCCCTCCCACTCGCCCCCACCGCCCCGCTCCAACCAGAAAAAATAAGCCAGTGAGATGTCTTGCCCTGGGGCACTCCCATCGCGGGGCGGGTCCAATAGGTAGACCAGGGTGGCCCCGACCCGATAAAAAAAAATTAGGGAGTGGGGTGTCTTGAATTGAAGAAGTTTAAGCTGCCTATCAATCATTGTTTTTGCAACCAATGGACAGCCAGTGAATAAAGTACTCTTGCAGCAGCTGCATAGTGTGGATCCCAGCCTATGGAATAACAGTTGGAGGGAGTTCCTCCCGTCTAAAGACCTCTGTGGTATTGTGCTCCATACTGTCAACAACCAGTGGGGCTTTCATTGCTCAATTTAATTTGTGCTGATTAAATAAAAAATGTCCATAGTCGTAATGGACACATTTTCAAACACGCACACCTTTAATAGATTAAAAGGGGCAATCTGTAGTTGCTACATCCATTTTAGGACTAATATGAATGATATTCACTGAGCGTACAAAACATTAAGAACATGACATAGACTGACCAGGTGAATCCAGGTGAAAACTATGATCCCTTATTGATTTCACCTGTTAAATCCACTTCAATCAGTGTAGATGAAGGGGAGGAGACAGGTTATAGAAGGATTTTTAAGCCTTACGACAATTGAGTCATGGATTGTGTATGTGTGCCATTCAGAGAGTGAATGGGCAAGACAAAATATTGAAGTGCCTTTGAAGAATGTATCAAGAATGTGTATCAAGAATGTGGGAAGCATTGGAGTCAACATGGGCCAGCATCCCTGTGGAACGCTTTCGACACCTTGTAGAGTCCATGCCCCGACGAATTCAGGCTGTTGGTCTTGTTTAATCTCTCAATGTTCATAATGTTTGGTACACTCAGTGTATGGCCAGCTATGTAAACTCTAACATTGATTTATCCTGCATTAGATGTCGTTCAATGGGTAATCAGATTACGGTAGTGAGTTTGGGTAATCAAAAAGTTACGTTACTGATTACAATTTTGGACAGGTAACTAGTAAATGTAACGGATTACATTTGGAAAGTAACCTATTCAACCCTGGTTATATGTCATGTTAAACCTCCTCTGTCTCCTCCCTCCAGACTGGATCCAGGCGGTTCAGGCCCTCATGGTTCTCTCAGTGTTGTTCTGCCTCTTCTCGCTGGTCTTCTTCATGTGTCAGCTCTTCACCCTGGTCAAAGGAGGACGCTTCTTCTTCACCGCCATCTTCCAGATCCTCGCCAGTGAGTATGACCACTTGTAAGGCTTAATGAAGCCTTCATAACCCCTTTATAAGGCCTACATAGAGGCTTCATAAAGTTGTTGGTCTTGTTGGCCAGTGAGTATCATCACATCACATCAAACACAGAGTTTCCCCGATTGTCTAACCTAGCCATGGTCCCCCAGCTTATACAACGTTGGCTTGTATTGGTATCAACTGACAATGTTGGTGAGAAGATGGCCTGGATATTGCCCTGTGTGGCTTACCGCCCAGCAGGAAAATTATCTCATGGAAAAACGGAATCTGTAAAGGACAGACATGTTATAGCCCAGGTCAAAGTGGGAGGCAGCCCCATGTGACCACTGTCCCTTACTACGGGGTTGGTTTACTGTCTCAATGTCAGGTCCCTTACTACGGGGTTGGTTTACTGTCTCAATGTCAGGTCCCTTACTACGGGGTTGGTTTACTGTCTCAATGTCAGGTCCCTTACTACGGGGTTGGTTTACTGTCTCAATGTCAGGTCCCTTACTACGGGGTTGGTTTACTGTCTCAATGTCAGGTCCCTTACTACGAGGTTGGTTTACTGTCTCAATGTCAGGTCCCTTACTACGGGGTTGGTTTACTGTCTCAATGTCAGGTCCCTTACTACGGGGTTGGTTTACTGTCTCAATGTCAGGTCCCTTACTACGGGGTTAGTTTACTGTCTCAATGTCAGGTCCCTTACTACGGGGTTGGTTTACTGTCTCAATGTCAGGTCCCTTACTACGGGGTTGGTTTACTATCTCAATGTCAGGTCCCTTACTACAGGGTTGGTTTACTGTCATAATCTCTTAGTTGGAACCCAACTAAATATTGTGCTAGATATCATAGCTAGCTAACTCAATTTGCTCATGTGGGCAGAGTTGGCTGGAAGTGGGCCGGTTCTCTGGCTCAGGGGTTAACTTGTGGAAAGTAGCAGATTCAGTCCCTCCCCAATATACAGAACATAACGAAGTCTGTCACTAAAGATGAGGTGTGTCAACTTGGAAGAAATGAATGATCCTCAACAGCTGTCTAAAACTAACCATTACTTTTTTCCTTTCTCCCCCACTCTCTCTCTGTCCCTCCCTGCGCTCCTCTCTTTCTCTCTGTCCCTCCCTGCTCTCCTCTCTCTCTCTGTCCCTCCCTGCTCTCCTCTCTCTCTCTCTGTCCCTCCCTGCTCTCCTCTCTCTCCTTTCCATTCCCTTCCCTCAACCCCTCTTGCACTCTCCTCTCTCTCTCTCTCTCCAGGTCTGTTTGTGATGTGTGGAGCAATAATCTACACGGTGATGTGTCCGGATGAGGAGGTGGATGCTGCATTCGGCTTTGCCTACGTCCTGGCCTGGGTGTCTTTCCCTCTGTGTCTGGTCAGTGGTCTCATCTACATCGTACTGAGGAAGAGGGAATGAGAGAGGGAGGGAGGCTGAGGTTAAGGCCTCACACCATCACCAACAGAACACAGCACTGTGCCCCAGGGTTGGGGTCAATTCCATTTGAATTCCAGTCAATTCAGGAAGTACACTGACATTCCAATACTCTTCAATGCTTCTTAATGAGGTTTGCTTTCTGAATTCACTGGAATTTAAATGGAATTGAGCCCAACCCTGCTGTGCCCACTGACCACCAGAGGAGGCTGGTGAGGGGAGGATGAACGGCTCTAATAGTGGTTGTTTTCCGTTAAACACTTTGAGCATTCTATTACATTTTGAGTGTTTGCACTTTTGGGATTATTCCATTGGTTTCATTGTGCCAGGCAAGCTCAATCAAGCTCAGTTAAGGCATTTGTAAGAAAACAAATCCTATTTGAACCCAGGTCTACATTATACATACCCATCACAGGAGGTTGGTGGCACTGGCTGGAGCGGAATCAGTGGTAATGGCTGGAGCGGAATCAGTGAAGTGGTATCAAATATACTGAACAGAAATATAAACGCAACATGCAACAATTTCAAAGATTTTAGTGAGTTACAGTTCATAGAAGGAAATCAGTCAATTGAAATAAATTAATCAGGCCCTAATCTATGGATTTCACATGACTGGACAGGGGTGCAGCCTTGGGTGGGCCTGGGAGGGCATAGGCCCACCCACTGGGGAGCCAGGCCCAGCCAATCGGAATGAGTTTTTCCCCACAAAAGGGCTTTATTTTCAGACAGAAATACTCCTCAGCACCCCTCCTCCGCCTCCTCAGACGATCCCGCAGGTGAAGAAGCTGGATGTGGAGGTCCTGGGCTGGCGTGGTTACACGTGGTCTGCGGTTGTGAGGTCGGTAGGACATACTGCCAAATTCTCTAAAATGACGTTGGAGGCGGCTTATGGTAGAGAAATGAACATTCAATTATCTGGCAACAGCTCTGTTGGACATTCCTGCAGTCAGCATGCCAATTGCATGCTCCCTCAAAACTTGAGACATCTGTGGCATTGTGTTGTGTGACAAAACTGCACATTTTAGAGTGGCCTTTTATTGTCCCCAGCACAAGGTACACTTGTGTAATGATCGTGCTGTTTAATCAGCTTCTTGATATGCCACACCTGTCAGGTGGATGGATTATCTTGGCAATGGAGAAATGCTCACTAACAGGGATGTAAACAAATTTGTGCACACATTTTTTGAGAAATAAGCTTTTTGTGCGTATGGAACATTTCTGGGATCTTTTATTTCAGCTCATGAAACACGGGACCAACACTTTACATGTTGCGTTTATATTTTGTTCAGTATACATCAAACACATGTTTTCCATGTGTTTGATGCGATTCCATTGGCTCCGTTCCAGCCATTATTATGAGTCGTCCTCTCCTCAGCAGCCTCCACTGATACCCATGTGTGAGGAAACTACAGAGAAGAACACAATCTATGTCACAGTGTAAAGATGTACATAGTGTCTATGGTTTTAGACATATTTATAACATTTTTTACATGACCTTTTGTACATAGTGTTGTTGAGTTGCTTTTACTTTTTCATACTTTCTCCTCCGTGCCAAAGAGATAAAGCTGTGATATCAGCTTTTAGGAAAAAAAGCCAAAATGTTTAAAACCTTTTAAATGTTTATTTTGCTTTACTATAGTGTAGTGTCAACTCCTAGTTTGTCATTGTCAAGCCAAATATGACAATTCCATAAAGAGTTGGCAAGAAAGCAAGAACAGACTGGCCATCAGGCTAGTCAACTCAGACAAAGTGAATTCATAAACAACATCAGTTTTCTTGATGAAGGAAAATGGGTATGTGTTTCAGAACCAACAAATTATTGTGTATATGAACTAATGAGCATGACTTTTTCATATTTGTACTGTACTGTCCTGAATTGTATTGTATTGTACAGTACTGTATTGTCTACTAGGATTCTGAAATGAAAATGGTGCTTTGTCTCTGCCAGTCTTCTACTGTATAGCCTGGTTGTTGGTGTTATTAAATGATTTTAACAATGCTTGAATTGTATAGCCTCCTTGTTTTGTGTTGCCATTAAATGATTTTAACAATACTAATGACTGTTGTCCTGCCCTTTCTGTACAAAAACGAATTTGCAGTTTTTATGTATATATTCTTATAAATAAATCCATTGAAAGGTCTGCTTGCTTGGCATACAGGCAGGTCACCCGTGATACAAGTCAGTATTCAACGTCCATCCATGTCTGAGGACATTGGGAGATGACGTGGAAACCGGACACTAGGTGCAACAGTGAGCGCTGTTACCTTCAAGTAGGCTTTGTTTTTTTTAGGGCGTTGGGGACGGACGTAAGCTTCTGCCTCTGGTTCCAAAGGTTGCATGTTTGAATCCAGTGATAGAAAGTTGTTTTTGAATTTTTATTCTAAGCCAATCCCAAATCATAACCCTTACCTTAACCATTCTGAGTCAATGCCTAAACTTAACCTTGGAACGATACAGAGAAGTAACCAAATACTTTGAAATTTGACATTTGGAACAACTTCAAAATTAGGCGTTTGAGACACATGGATGAAGGTCTTATTCTGACGTGAGACTGTGAGAGCTTGTTGTGGCATGATCATTCATCCTCTGAGAACTGGCCTGATTGACACAGCTGCAGTACTGATATGCAGCACATGGCGGCAGTGTAATGCAGTGGTTGACAGCTGTTGTGAGATTCAGCGGTGGCATCAACAACTGCGAAGGGAAGAATCCATTTGGGGAGAATAATTTAAACTCCGTCAACAATATTTCTTACACTGTATGCAGCTCTCTTAACTGCTAGACAAATCTCAGCTCTATCTTTTTCCACTTTGCCATATCTTTCAACATTACATTTTCCATTTACTTCATACTGTGTAAAAATATTGTTGATTGAGTTTAAATTACTCTCCCCAAATGGGTTCTTCCCTTCTCAGTTGTTGATACCACAACTGAATCCCGAGCCAACTAGGTGAAAACTGATGTGCCCTTGAGCACGGCACTTAAACCTAATTGCCCCTGTAAGTCACGCTGGATAAGAGTGTCTGCTAAATGACAAAAGTGTGTGTGTGTGTTACACTCTATATAGCTTCAGATGGTGACAGATGGGTCTATATAGAGGTACAGAATACATATCTAGCTGAACCAACCACAGATGGGTCTATAAAGACATACAGAATACATATCTAGCTGAACCAACCACAGATGGGTCTATAAAGAGGTACAGAATACATATCTAGCTGAACCAACCACAGATGGGTCTATAAAGAGGTACAGAATACATATCTAGCTGAACCAACCACAGATGGGTCTATAAAGAGATACAGAATACATATCTAGCTGAACCAACTATATATGGGTCTATAAAGAGATACAGAATACATATCTAGCTGAACCAACCACAGATGGGTCTATAAAGAGATACAGAATACATATCTAGCTGAACAAACCACAGATGGGTCTATATAGAGATACAGAATACATATCTAGCTGAACCAACCACAGATGGGTCTATAATGAGATACAGAATACATATCTAGCTGAACCAACCACAGATGGGTCTATATAGAGGTACAGAATACATATCTAGCTGAACCAACCATAGATGGGTCTATATAGAGATACAGAATACATATCTAGCTGAACCAACTATATATGGGTCTATAAAGAGATACAGAATACATATCTAGCTGAACCAACCCTAGAACTACTGAATGCTCCTATTCACTAGTGCGTCCTGGCACCAAACCTGTAAACAATCATGCTCAATTGAATTACAGATACCCACTTGGCTGTGGCTTGTACAGACGCCTTTATCAAATAGCTGGACACTTGGCAAGATACACACAAACACAATGTTTCAACAGATATGAAGGGGTGTGTGTATTTGTGGAGATGGAAAAACAAGGTTTGAAAACAGGTCTGTACAAATAACATCAAATACAAAGTAAGGAACAAGTAGTAGAAGAAGAGAGATAGAATAAGGGAGAAGGAGAGAGAAGAATAGAGAGAGAGAGAGAGAGAGAGAGAGAGAGAGAGATAGATAGATAACGCGATAGAGACTGGCTCTATGGCATACATACAGAATACGATGTACTTTCTGGCGAGAGTTTAGATGCAGCCCCTTTCGTGGAGCTACGTCTCTCTATTCTCTCTCTAGTTCTTGTCATCTGCTAATCCCCATATAGCGATCTCCCTATTCTCTTTATCCTCTAAGAGAGCTCCAAAAAGACAGGCAGAGCAGTAATACCCAGCTGACCACACTAAGAGAGGAGCTGCAGGAGAGAAAGAGAACAGAGACAGACTGCAGGAGCAGCTAGATCACCACTCTATGACCTGCCATCACACAGCAGAGGAGCCCACCTCACCAGCCAGGCCTCCCCAGCCCTGCCGGCTGCATGCCTCCCCCCCAGCCCCCAGAACAGCTTCCAACTGACAGCGGCACCGGCACAGACCAGCCACACCCCAGCTCCAACACCCACCAGCCCCAACCCTACCCCCCTCCAGTCCAGAAGAAACACTGGCTGAGATTGTCCTGTTGATGGACTCAAATGGGAAGTTTGTTCAGGAGAAGAAACTTTTCCCTAGACACAAAACGAGAAAGGTGTGGTGCCCAACAACGCAGAGTGCCATGGCGCTGCTTGATAAGGCCCAGCTTGGGTCGCCAAGCCACATAATCATACACACCGGAAGCAACGACCTGCGTGCTCAGCAGGAGAGGGTGGCGACTTCACTACGGGGAGTGATTGAGAAGGCCTCCGCAATCTTCCCCAACTCAAGGATCGTGGTGTCAACCCTTCTACAGAGGAAGGACTTCCACCCTGCCACAATCCAAAGAATAAACGCCAGCCTCTCCCGGGACTGTGCCCTGCGACCCAATGTACACCTGGCCCACCATCCCACCCTCGATCTGGACTGTCTCTATGACCATGTTCACCTGTACAGGGAAACAGTCCCCATCCTTGCTAAAACTCTCAAGGACGTCGCTTTAAACCGCATCCAGACC